CATACGCGAGCGCCGGTTCTAGTCACGCACGCAGTATGTGTTTACTATAATTAGACATAGTCTTTACCTTGCCGTTTATTCGGTGTTATTTGCTTACTAGTACTTTACTTCCTATGTCGACAGCAACTATGAGTTTAAAATGATCTAGCCCAGTAGAGATCTATTTCAATAATCCTGCTACTCACCTCCCAACTTAGAATCAGCGAATGTCACCTTTCTACCATTTGTGGATTTCTCTTCAGAACTCTAGAAATTAATAATCACATATTAGGTAAATCTACAAGTCCTCATATTCGGATTGTATCAAAATGGCATGTAAAAGATGAAGGCTGTTTGTTTGTTAGTTAGCTGGCCCAGGCATGGCAATTCTATAATTATCTTTCTTAAATCGTAGTCCAACGTGAAATTACCATGACTGGTCTTGGTGACAACTATAGAGGGCATGGCAGAATAGACAAATGGTAATTTCGTGTGAACACGGAAGATTCCACAAACTCATTCTAAAGAATTTAGCATATTAAACAATAAAAATTTCAGTGTAAGAATACAATAAATCACTTACTGGTGTTTCACCTCCTTCTGTCTTCAAAGCAGATTTATTTGGCAAGGGTGGTGTACTACGATATCCTAGTAATTGTAACATTGCTTCAGCAGCAGCCCGCTTTGCCATTTTTTTGTTAGGCCCGATACCAGTGCATTGATTACTACCAATTGTGACCTAAGAAACAATCAAATATCATCAAAAATGAATCTAGAATGATAATGCTTTTTTTGTACAAATTTCCTTAATTATAGTAAGAAGCTGATTGGTCACTAGAAGCACTAAATCTTAAACAAATGACAGATGTGTTTCATACTTTAATGATCGATTAGACAATACATGTTTAACTTATGTGGGCTTTAAAGCAGGGGGAGTCGTCACCTGCAGATGCGTCAGATGGCCATATCGTGTCATTGTTTACAAACTTCTATCCATGAGCCTTTGCATTTTTACTGTGTGTTGTTATCGACATTTGGGACTCAATTCTCACGCGTGCGCAGGTGACGATCTTCTCGCTTTAATAAGAGTATCTTTGCCAGTCAAAGTCATTTTATTTGGCCACATCTGTGACAGCCTGCCTTAAAAACCTGATTTTATACTTTCCCACTCTCCTGCGAAATTAAAGTGGTAAACAGCACATTTGTTGGGCACCACTACAAAATAAATTAATTTTTCGAAAAAAGCAAAACAATATTTTCAGAAGGGAATCATCTGACATTGCATGACATTGCATGTCAGATTGCGATGTAACAATCCAATAATCTCAGCTCATACAATGAGAATTGAGAAAGACCACATAGAATTTTACCTACCTGCATGATGAATTCTCGTTTACGTGGTTGACCTCGTTCTTGTAGTAGAGTGAAAACAGGTTCTTTTTCTTTCTTTGCTTGCTGGATTTGTACAAGACGACTTACAGGGTTCATTCCTAGGCCATAGTCTTGGTTGCTTTGCTGTACCTGTTCACACAAGACATTTATTGTTGTTAGGGAAATACAAACATAATCGGCTCTATTCTCGTAGGCGGTACTACATTTTGTACGTCGCATAATATTCTACTATACTATGTATTTCTATGGGCTCTGCGCAAGGTGCTGTGAAAACGCCGGTAAAAGAGCTGGTGAAAACAGCTGAGTTGAGGAAACAGCACAAACTCAACTTTAAGACAATCCTGAACAACCAAATTTTGATATGTTACACATGTTGCTGTACTGTTCTGGGAAGTCAGAACAGTTACCGTAAAGTACAGTTTTATGAGTTTTCTGCTGTTTTCACCACTTGTGGTTGGCTAGGCTGTGAAAATGCTTGGATGTTCCCCGCTACAATATTATACACCATCACCAAATTGACACACATATCCTAGCACTTTCTTTGGTGCTGTCCATGTAATAGAGTATACTATCAATTTAATACAAGGTAGGCTTGGTACAAGTACAGACAAGGAAGGCGAACAATGTAAGGGTATGCCACTTGTGTGATATGAAGTCATGTCAATTGCTTCTAGAAATATGCAAATAGCACAAGTATTAATCAAGCAAAATTCTTTTTGCTGCATTTCAGGCTGTTATCTCATTAAATTATGATAAGTACTGAATGAGAATACAGCAAGTACTGAATGAGAATACAGCAAGTACTGAATGAGAATACAGCAAGTACTGAATGAGATTGCATCAACCTACAAGCACTCAAGAATTGTTGGTGACTTGCTACGTACATACGTAGACGACACAGGTGTCATAACCGATTGGCTGTCTCGAGACTTCAGTACATCATGAGACACACATGCACAGACCGACCAGTACACGCAAGGCCCACCCACAGCCGTCCAGACTAATTGACTAGTCTATTATTTGTAGATTTTTCAAAGTATCATGATACCTCTGCTGTGGGGTTTGTCAATATAAAACCTTTAACCAGCAAAGTATTATGTACCTACTTTCCCAAAATGCTAAAATTAAAAAACTACTACGCAGCAAGCAATTTTTACCTTTACCAGAGATTTAGGTTTCTTCTTCTTGAACCTAGGTCTTGGCTTCTCAATGACTGGTAAAGCTGGCAGAACTTTCAGTTGTTCTAGGACTTTAGCAGCAGCTCGTTTCTTTGATACCTTTTTACCGTTGCCCTCAGCTTCCGCTGAATACTCTCCAATAGTACAGCGTGTTATAAAAGTTTTCATGTGAGGGGGGCCGCTTTCGTTGATCACCTTGTGAATTGAACACATGATTGAGTGGTGAATGAAGAATGTAGTTTTACTTACGATTCAGTTTACAATGACACTCGATGTATCTACACATGTGGTTGAAGCAGCTGTCTTGTTGTGCATGTCGTTAAAGGATGGTGGTCATTGTGCAGCACATGTTCAAATTTCATGTAATCAAACATTGAATTTTTTTACCTGTGTTGTGTATAGCGCTATAAATAAAATGTAGTGTGTTTTTGGTAATTTCGCCTGAGAATTTGTTTTGAACAAGAATCGGTAAAGTGTCTTTGCAATTTTTTTTTTAACATTCCCATTTTTTAATTGTCAAAATTCTTTAATAAAATTCTGATGTTTTGTTTTGTTGATTCAAATTCAAACTGAATAGTTCATGTCTTGATTAATCATAGTATTTCATCTCTAGAACAAGTCCAACACTCTTTTATGATAAAGGCTTCAGTTAGTGATGTTAAGAAAACATCTCTTATAGTCCACAGCTCAGTGGCTTTGGTTTGAATCAAATTAAGTTTCGTGTTCCCACTAGCGCAATAAATTCTGTTTGTTAATTCGGTTCAAAAATTACCCCTGGCTTTGATCCATATTACCAGTAGTTAACATAGTTGTATATTATATCCATCTATCCTCCAGTTGCCTCGCGGCACATAGAACCTTCACCGAACATCTCCATTCTGTCCTTACAGCTGCTGCGACTGGCTTCCGCCAGATGTATATTAGCTCGATATAATTTTATATTAGATCAAGTGAAGACAAATAAACCATCTTCAATCCAATTCAAAGCTACTTATTTTCAACTAGTGATGACAAGGCTTATACTGGAAAGAGTCAAACAGCATAAAATACATGAACCTTACCTCGAATGAAATAGGCAAGTTCCTCCTATGAGCACTTTCATAACATTGACTAATTTCAGACTTTGATTCATCATCGTCATTGTCATCTCCATCAACAACATCAAGTTTGACACCCTCTATTGTTACAAAGTAGACAAAACATGTTCAAGGTCCATCAAATCAATCTTGCAAGACAATGCCTTCGCTGGTTCCCGGCGTCCTTTGCGAATGGCAGGTAGGACGCAGGTAACTAGTAATCGCCATATTGTTCCATTTGGGCCGGTTTTCCGGCCGGAAGGAACGCGACTGGGTGACGTAATTTGAAAACATTCCAAGTTCCGTTTTGCGTTAACGTGTCTGTAATGCTACAATAAAGCCATGCTCATACATACTGTCTGCTTAGATTTACAGATTTGATATGTTCTGTGCAAATTTATAACAAAAGAAACAGTTTTTTATTCGCCCAACAAAGCAAAAGGAAACCCCTGAACGGCCACGAGCGTAAGCGCTGACGTCAGGTAACTAAGGGAAATGGAACAAGCAACGAGAAAGTGATGTACCAATCAGAATGCCAGAACCGTTACTAGTTACCGGCCTCTTGTGGCTTGGTACGCCATGACACTTGAGGCGGGAACCAGCCAAGACAATGCCATGTACTAGTCATCCCAGCATGCATTACTACTATTACACTAAAGTTGTATTGCCGGCAAAATTTGCTCAAAGCCTTTTGACATGTTGAGTACTGTAAATGCATTAATTATTCACTGGGTTTTAATTTTTTAAGTAAAATCTGCCAAATTAAATCAATGTGAACATGTGAAATAACAATGAAACTTGTTTCTTGACAAATTCATGAAATTAAAACAGTGAATATGCTCAAAACATCAAAATAGTGAAATGTCAGTAAAAAATGGTTTTACAGTAATGTGTGTACTGGAGCAACTATGATAATCCTAAGATATTCGCCTTGCAGTTTCGCCTAAGGAGTTTTGTTGCTTCAATTATGACCTATAAGCAAGCAAGATTATCTGTTTGAGGATCAAATATGGTATGCATTACAAACTCAATATTCAAAGTGAAGCATTTATCACCAACACTAGTCTGGCATGCATTACACCACTCTTCGAGTTGTTTTTGAATTAGGTCTCTTTCATTTGAATTTATAGAACAAATTAATAACAAATTGTTACCATAGCGTCCACCAAACATTACGTACTTCTGATGTTAGTTGTGTTCAGCTAATTTTGAAAGAATTCAAACAATGCATAATCGAACTTGGTCGATAAACGGCACAATGTGTTTCTATCAATATAAAATAACACGTGAAACTAACTCTCAGATTTGATATTTGTCCAAGTTATTCAAAATAATTTAAAAAGGCTTTCAAACTTTCAAATTTTGCCAACAATATAACTTTAAAAGATGTGCTATGTGACAAGATCCATTAGTGTTTGATGGGTAGCCATTGGTTGAAGGAGTAAATTAGGGACAAGTTTACCATTTTAACCACTATTAGATTTGATCCATTACCTGTGCGCAAGGAGGAATTGAGTCCCAAGCGTCAATAACACACACTAAAAATGCAAAGGCTCATGGGTAGGCTACCCTCTATGGTCATCTGCCGCATGCACAGGTGATGACTCCCTTGCTTTAATGTAAACAATTTAATTTTTTGCTATAAATGTTTGTCACTGATGCAATGACATTCATGATGATTAAAAAATTCACTGCGACCGTCTTAAGGTCATACTAGTAGTTCACTGCGACTCGCAGTCTCAGGGAGGGACCACAGTGAATGGTTCACTCACAGAATCACTGAAATATCAGTTTACAGTAAATGTCAAAATTTCACTCACCAGCACTCTGCTGCTGCTGCTGCTGCTGTTGTTGTTCTAGAAGTTGTTGATTTTGTAGTAGTTCCTGTAAAGAAAATTACAAAATTTCGCAATTACAAAAAAAGCCTACATGAAAACCACTATCCGATGATTTGTTTTCCTTACAACAATGTAATGTAACAATTCCTTTAATCGTAACAAGTCATTGAAAATGACACAGTCCCTGTTAAATTTTTGAAAGTTCTCTTTGTGCTCGTCATATCAAAGCGGAGGGGTTGTCGTGAGGGTGTCCTTGAAACTTGAGCTCCAAGTGGCGTATACAACAGATTATTTATTTACATCAAAACACGTGTTCCATGTAGTAGTAATATGGCCAAAAATAAAAACAGCCGTTATTCGGCCATCTTTGATCTGATTATGAAACACACTGATATGTATGATGTATGTGCCAAATACGAATGAATATGGTACATCAATTGTGGAAATATAGTAGTAAGGCCAAAAATTCAGATGGCTGTCAATCAGCCATCCTTGACCAGATTTTGAAACAAATTGTCATGGACATGCATTCTAACACGTATAAAGTACATGTATGTGCCAAATTTGAATGAAAACTCGCAGAGCGTGTCCAAGATACCACATAAAAAAACAAGAACAAGATGCCTGCCAGTCGACCATCTTTGATCCAATTGTGAAATATATCGTCATGGACATGTATCCTAAAATGTATAATCTATGTACCAAGTTTGAATTAAAACTGACAAAGCATGTCCAAAATACAACATTTTCAAAAAACAAGATGGCTGCCAGTCGGCCATTTTGAATCAAATCGCTAAACCACTGCATGTGCATATGTCCCACATAAAGTACTAGGCACATGCAAAGAATGAACAGAATCGGTCCAAGGGATTCTGAGATACAACTCCGGACGGACGCACAGACGGAGACCGAATTATAAGTCCCCGTTTTCAAACTTCGTCCAAGCGGCGACTAATAACACTATACAGTATAGTATATAGATAGTATGAATGACAGGATACATGAATCACGTCACAAACTACGAAATAAAAAACCTTTACAGTACTTCAAATGAAGTTCTATAATACTACTAATATCAAAATAGAGTGTAGGAGGTCTTGGATGTGGATTTTCATGAAGCTTGTCCCATTTTCCTTGTATTACCCACTTGTCAAGGTGCCAGATCCCTTACATAACTCGCATCTATCATTTATTATTTTCTGAACCTTCACACCATGATATATATCACAATGCTGTACTTGCTATTAACCCTTTCACCACCACCATCATTTCTTGCCCAAATTTGCACTTTTTTCTTATATTTTTCAATATTTCTGGAAATGAACCTTATTTTTGGAGCCAACAGAGAGAATTTGAATCAATTTTTATTTTTTAGTCTTCTGAAGGAATGCGCAGACTACAAACCTGACTATTTTGTGAATTTGTGATGAAAAAAGAAAACTGGTAGCGAAGAGGTTAAAACATAATGCAAACTGTTCAATTTTTACTGCTGGAAATTTTCATAATTTTATGACATCCGTGAAGACAAATGGCACACAAAATTGAATTTTCACAGACTCTCAAAAATGTCTTCGCGAAAGCAAAGCCATTTACAGAAGTCAGCTATAGTGTTGTGGAGCTGTGTACATCAGTTTGTACATAGGAATAGAAATCTGTAGGTAGTTTGAAATACATTGTAGAAGGAGCCAGCTTACCAAGGCACCCTCAGGTAGAGGTTCATTCCTCAAAACTTTGAGTGCTTTCAAGGCAGCATTATGTCTGGCCTGTTGACGAGTTCTGCCATCACCAATAAATTCACGGTTACCAACAGTAAGGGATACATAACAGGGCCTTGCCATAGGGTAACGGTATCTAGAAACGAGAAAAATGTGCACATTTTTATCATGAAATAAATTTCAAACCATTTAGTATCATAAATAAACATTAGTTATATAGCTGTTGATGTCAAAGTAATTTTTCTCTATTACACAGATGGAAACTGAGCAGCCTGACACAAAATCAATTGGTACCAAAGTTTAGAATTGTCACTGCTGTGGCGTGCTTTTGTGTTTATATAACTTTAAATTCTCTGTAAATCACACAACAATAATTAATGCAAATAATTTGTGATGTTTAAAGTGAATGGTATGGTAGATACACTATTCATGTTGAATAACTGCCAAGCCACACGTGCACAGCCAATAGTCTCTTCTTAGGATTAATCTTCATTTGTTTTGGAAATCTTTGAATGAGTGATGAAAACCTTTATAATAACCATACCACGTACTAGCAATTTATGTCTGCCAAGATTTGAATAACTCTACAAACTGTATTAGCTCTATTAGTTGTATCTCCAAATCTGACCAGTGATATCTGGAATATATATACATGCACACACACACACACCCACCCACCCACACACAACACACCCCCCCCCCACACACACATATATACACACACACACATACGTACATACAGAGTAACGGCAAAGACTCCTAATTGTGTGCTTTGCACATAGGAGACAAAAATTAAATTCCCCAACTTTCATTTTTGAAAGTGCGTACACTACTAATAGAGCATTTTCTTACCTTTGATTGTACATTCCTCTAAAGTTATAATTGGGAGGTGGCCTATTATAATATCCCTGTTGAGGTCCTCTAGGATTGGCTTCAATGGGACGATATATCGCAGGCTCCCCTCGTTTCATAGCAAGACCATTCAATTCTACGGTAGGGGTCATACTATTAGGATTACCATTATACAAGACCCTAGGCGGGCGTGGCTTCGGTCGGGGTAAACCACACTTCTGGAGCGCTATTTCTGCAGCGGCATGCTGAGCCTTTTTGATACTAGATCCAGAAGCATCATAGACTTGGTTGTTCAACGTAAGTGATACATTAAAAGTTTTCTGATGGGCTGGACCAGACTCATCTTGTAGTTTATATTGGGGCTGTGTCTTGTTATAACGGGCTAACTCGTTGAGCAGACACATGGGGGTTTTCTCTTTGGGGTTTGCCATGTTTTGTGATATCTGAAATGAGACATAGAAAAGCAAATGAAAGATGCATTACCCAACATGTGAATAAGACTCCCGGTCAATCAACACTCCTGTCTCACAAAGCACCAGATATTCAGAAATAATTACATGTGAAATAATTTTGCTTGAATTGTTCATGAATTCTTCAAAATCCATGCATATAATATGCAAGTAGAGTAAAATTTTAAGTACATGAATACAGCTAAACAGTTTTGAAACAATTGTCTAAACTTATTGTTACTGGCCATTTTAAATTCTGTAGAACAAATTGGATACTCAAACTAGTTTCAAAATTACAAACCTCAGTTCTGGGCATTTCAATCATTTTTTCAATAAAAACTACCGCAAGAATGGTCTTAACAATCACAAAGTCATAGAAATATGTTTGGGTAACGCCCACTTTTAATTTGCTTCTATGTAATTTATATAATTGAACTATTAACTGGTAAAATATGAAAACATTTGTAATGCTATTAAGTTTTCTGCATTTGTACTAGTTGGCAGTGTCAATCCTCAGGTATTTAAAATGACAAAAAAATGACCATGCCCACGTAATTCTCACTAAGTGAGTTGGACAGTGTACGCGCGAGGATGGTATTTTTACGCGTGTTCTCACGTAACACAGTACAATTCAAGGGTGAAACCGTTGTCATTCTCACGTGCGTGAAGATGACTGTTTTTATGACTGTTCTCACATAAATTTAAACAACGCGGCATCGCATCAATTCCACGTACGTGAGCATGGCTATTTTATGATTCTTGCGTATTTCTCTTTCACGCGAGAACACACTAGGAAACAATCATTCTCACGCACATGAGATTGGGATGCAAAACTGTTTAAGGGTTCTCATGCATTTTTTTCTTTTTACGCGAGAACACACTAGGAAACAATCATTCTCGCGCACGTAAGATTGGGACGCAAAACCCTACAAGGGTTCTCATGCATTTTTTCTTTTTACGTGAGAACACACTAGGAAACAATCATTCTCACGCACGCGAGGTTGGGACGCAAAACCATATAAGGGTTCTCACGCATTTTTTCTATTTACGTGAGAACACACTAGGAAACGATCATTCTCGCGCACGTAAGATTGGGACGCAAAACCCTACAAGGGTTCTCATGCATTTTTTCTATTTACGTAAGAACACACTAGGAAACAATCATTCTCGCGCACGTAAGATTGGGACGCAAAACCATACAAGGGTTCTCACGCATTTTTTCTATTTACGTGAGAACACACTAGAAAACAATCATTCTCGCGCACGTGAGATTGGTACGCAAAACCATACAAGGGTTCTCACGCATTTTTTCTATTTACGTGAGAACACACTAGGAAACAATCATTCTCGCGCATGTGAGAACTGATCAGAAACTGTCAAACTAAAGCATGAAAAAGTAATTATGTAACAATGGCTAATTTTCGGCCCAACTCACATACGTGAGAAAGACGCGAGAATGGTCAAAATTTTGACCTATAAATAACTCCAATTCTTAATGTTTACTTACAGTTTGTGCAACTGGTGGAGTAACAGTACCAGTAGTCGAGGACGGTACAGCACCAGTTGGCATTCCAGGACCACCAGCAGCAGCAGCCGGACCACTGACTACCTTTGGGTTTGTCTGGTTCATACCCGGAGGAACTCCTGCTGTTGCTGGGGGTGGCTGAGTTGCTTGAACTCCTTGGACTTGAGACATGGTTGCAAGTTATATATCTATAAAATAGAAATCAAAATTATCATCCCTGGTACAGTGGGGCTCTTTGGCAGCGGCTGCAAACAGATTGTGTCCAGCCATTTGTTGGCCACATAGAGGTCAAAATACGCATTTTATTTGTACGCGTTGTATTTGGCTCTTCCGTTTCAACCCCTCCGAAATGTTCCATTTTCGCTGTTTAATCGCAGGTTTTTCGAAAAACGTTGAAAAAACATAAGAATTGGTAGAAATGTTCCTGTTTTGGGCAGATTATTGATAGAGAATAATGTCTTTATTACAAAAATGCTAAAAAAACGCGAGTTTTTGCCCAAGTTATTTGCAAACTCAGCAAATTCGGTTGCACAACTTATGCTCTACCATATACACCCAGTGACACCGATGCCAGCTGACTGTGGATAAATAGTCCTGAATATTATACATGTACTATGTATGAACTATTTTAATTAATTTTTGCGAGATTGTTTTTTGCAAATTTTCATGAGTTAGTGAAAACCGACTTGTTGTAAAAAATAGTTTAGTAATTTAAATTAATACAATTTTACGAAAATGGTTATTAATAAAACGTCAGAGGGGAGATTACAAAATAACGAATATATTAAAGAATAATAAAATTTAGTATCATAAAGTTTAGCCAATATTATTTGATTGGTTTATCACCTATGTTTAAATGTACTGTACTGAATAATTTTGAATACCTCCGACAAGGAACTAACGTAAACACGGGTTTTGTAAATCAACCCCCACGAGGGCCCCTACCGACACATCTCCGTGGATTTCAAATTTATCAAAGATTGAGCCTTTACTTTGATTGAATAAGTACACGTGGATTTGAGTCGCGACTGGTAAAACTATATAAAGGAAAAGACAATAAATAATTTTTGAGGGATACATGTATAAGCCTCTTCTCAGAAGAATCTCGATGAAGAGATTCATTCAAAATGGCGTCATCGAATCAGAGAATTCTCGCTTCGGCATTACAAGAAGCATCATACTCCTTACCTTTTATCTGGGATTACTTAAAGAATGTAACTTGAAACCACGTAGTCTTCGACGTCGACTGATGGAAATGAAGGAATTAGGGGGAAAATTTCAACATTGGCAAACACTAAAGAAAATGTCTACAAGTCTACAACATGTGGACGTGTAGCCTCTACCCAGAAAATGAAGCGAGTTTCCAGATTGTAGTACACGCATTCGAGCTAAATGGGTACAGCGTTTTAATGCTTATGGTTAAATAAAATAAAATATTTGATATATGTAAACATTTAACTTATATATTTATATTGAATAATTACATGATATAAAGTTTAATTGTATTTTTTCTTCTCATTAAATGCAATGAATCGCTTCGTGAAGCAGCGTTATTCGCAACTGAAAGGTCATTGACCTTAGCAAAACATAAAGCAAATCGGCACACAATACATAAATTGCTGGAAAAAAACTGTAACTGAAACAACAAAACTAAAGACATATGAAAATTTAAAAGATATATTTTTGAAAAAAAAATGTCAATGATAAAATTTTGAACTCATTCAAATCTGTGTAAATGACCATTTCTGCCTCAAAACCACCTGTCTATATTGTCCACTTTGAAACAGCCCCGAAACAACGTACCGGTATAATCAACCAGTCTACCCGTCCCGGCACAGGAGAATCACCTGTTTAATGTAACCACCTTTTCAGCAATATTTTTGCAGATTCGCTTTTGTTAAAGACCAACATTTTTAATTTTCTCGTAAGTTAATTGATTTTGATTTGACGGATCTAATCAAATACATGTGTTTACGCGCGCGACGACCACCACCCGCCAAGTCCCTTGGATGGTCGTTATACACATTAGTATACTGTTGGCTATAGTAATATGCAATACCATAATAAATAAATTAGGTTGGGTTTTATTGGGACCAAATGCGTTTTATTTTTCAAAGAAGCCATGACAATGCAATGGATATAAGGGGGGACAAGGGTTATTTTCGTTCAATGAACGTAATTGCAATATTTTTTTGTTCGTACAACGTAAATTGAAAAAATAAATTCTGTAATCACAGGCTAGACGTACAACGTAATCAATCAAATATTTTTTTGTACACTGTAAAAATGTGTCATTTTTCTCGGTACGTACAAGAATTTATATCAAAATAAAAAAAGTCGTAAAGAATAATCCAGGGAAATTACATTTTCGAAACTCTAAAACGACTAGATGACACAATTCATTGCAAAATTCAATTTTCACTGTAAACTGTAAAAACGTCTTTTTTCCTTGTAAATTGTAAAAAGCCCTTTTTATTTCTCGTAAAACTGTCCCAGCTACCCAACTTGCCCCACTCATATAAACAATACACACATATTAGAACACTAAAACTAAACTAATATATTGTTGATACGGCATGTTGAGGATCAAATTAGATCATAATTTATCGTATATTAAACTTATTGCTTTTGCAGCGCGTGTTCGTTTCATGGCAAATTAAAAACACAAACACTCAGACGCATGTGCAGTGATAAATAAATAAAACAAATACGCAAACAAATAGATAAATAAATAAATACGAACAAACAAAAAGCAAAGCAAGCAAACAAACAAACAAACAAACACACACCTAAATAAATAAATAAATAAATAAATAAATAAATAAATAAATAAATAAATAAATAAATAAATAAATAAATAAATAAATAAATAAATAAATAAATAAATAAATAAATAAATAAATAAATAAATAAATAAATAAATAAATAAATAAATAAATAAATAAATAAATAAATAAATAAATAAATAAATAAATAAATAAAGCCTGTACATCGTAAACAATGGTACCACAAAGGCGCAGATCGTGAATTCAGAACACATAGCTCAGGCTCAGGCTAATTGATTTTTGTTTTGGATAGATTTAATTCAGTTGTGTACGAGAACGCCCGAAAAGCGAAAGGGGACTTTCACCAAATTAATGCAAAAACTAACCTTTAGAACATTTCTTGAAACATTGTGTAAGTTTGAGCACATCGTAATGTCAATAAGCCTATATATGTATGAGATATAGGCGTCTACAAAATCTATCTATTTAAGAGGTGTTTTCCCCGGACGATGAGGGGGGGTAGTCATCGGGGTCGCGGCCTCGCAACCAGCTCATGACTAAACCCAAAACACTAACCGCGGCGTCTTTTTTTGGCACAGAAATGTTTCCAAAAATTTGTGTTTTTGGCCTAACAATATTTTCCACATTAGTTTGTTAAAAATGCCTGAAAATCTTAAAGATCTTAAAGCTGATGGGTCAACGAGTTTCATAAACTGAACGAGAGTAAAAACATACCTTGAACAATACCAATTTGAAAGAAACAAATTTTCTGAAAAACTGAGAGTCTCCCGAAACACTGCTGAGACACAGAAAAAATGGCATCCCTGTCAATGCAATTGATAGGCAGGTTACTCGATTGAGTGAAAATTTTTGCTGACAAATTTGAGTAAATTTGTTCAAATTTTTCGTAATTTTTACTGAATTCAATCTTACTTTTGGACCAGACAGACACAATGGGACATTGCTTCTAGATTTGATCAACAGATTTGAATTTGTAATAAGCATTATCCGTGGAAAAGGGCAGACTATAAACGGAACCATTTTGTGGATGGTGCCTAAAGTTGTCTTTGGCGCTCAGATGGGTTAAAGTTATATAACACAATTTATCAACTTCGGTTTCACACAAAGGGAAACACAAATTCAATTTTTCTGTCCAGTTCAATTTCAAGCCAATGATTAGAAATTCTCAATTTTGTAATTCACATTGATGTGACAAATTTTCCAACTTAAAAATCAGTTTTAAATTTCCTGTATGATGTTTGCTCAAACTTTATTATTGTACTTTACATGTAACTTTAAACCCCAAACGATGAGATTTCAATAAAGGAATTACTTACACATTTTCAATAACAGTACCCCTTAGTACAGTTCCACAACGTTGAGTGATTCAGTTTTTTTGGTTTTCAGGAGCACCGGCGCTTCTCGGTGCTCGGTGATAAGGAGCCTTCTCACTTTAAATTGCCTAACTTAGGGAGTCAGGTGTACCGGTAACAGCGACAGCGCAGTACCCATTACGTTCACGAACAGGTAGGTAAAGCTAGAAAAAACATTATTTAAACAACTTGGTCACATTTTCAGAAACTACCGGGCATCGTTAAGTGTTTTGAAAACTTTCAGTTAACGGTTAATTGATTATTGAGTCATGTGAAACGGATTATTTACAATTACGTGCACGTACTTCCTGGTGTATAAAAATAGAAAGCGTCGCTGTCACTGTACCCGGAAATTGAGTTTCTGTCGATGGAAAAAAAACTCGCTGACAAATATATGCGATGTATGAAAGTTTTGCATATGGTTAATTGAGATGCAGTATAACAATGTTGGCATCATAAATAGGCAGGCTTCACCTCGGACCATGTACTAGTAGCCTGTTGCTTCGTAGCCCGATCATATATTGCGACGAGCCGGCAAATTTACTGACTACCTCAAGCCACGAGGTAATAGGTAACAGTACAGAGGCGGCAGCACTAAATTTTGAATGGGCGGGCGAGATCGGCTCACCAACCTTGCGCCGATGCCGCGACCTTACTAGGGGGTCCGGGTGCATGCTCCCCCGTAAAAAAATTGAAATCTAGACTCTCTGAAAGCTATTTCCTGCATTTTGAGGGGCATATTTTGCTGGTACAAAGGGTTTCAGTTTGATTTTGTAGGGGCGACGCCCCCGTGCCGCTGCCACTGTAATATTTCAATGTTTTTCATTATCTAATAACTTTGTTGTTTTGTTTTTTGTTTCTGACTCAAAGTTTTCCGATCTATGACAGCCAATGCAAAGCCAGTAAGTATGCAAATTTGACAATAAAATAGATTATTGTCCACAAATCAGTGAATCACTGCAACTAAACCCAGTGATTATTTCTGCTCATAAACTCTGATTATATTTCTTCGTGATTTGATTAAAAAAAGTTAAAGTAAAGTTAAAACTACGTTACAAATGAGAAGAATAAACGTAATTAACTCTGAGCATCTTTTCTGGGTCTAAGTTTGAAGGCTGGATATGTGCCTTAACATGTACAAACTCATATATAGCTAGGCTCTCACACGTATAATAAATGCCGATGTTAACAATGTTTTTGTGTTGTGCAAATATTAGATAATCTGCTGAATTGTCTGCTCGCGTTCTCACTTAGTAAAAACACCGGTGTTTGAGGATTGAATGCTGGCCTTCCATCTACTATTTTGTGTAGTTCATCCCAAAATGACATAGTTTTTGGATCTCTATCACTTCTGTTGTTGTGCTCAGTCACTTCTCTGTACTTTATACATAAAGTTTTGATCTTCCGTTGACATTGTAATGACGTCCTGTTCCTTTTCAGCCGCTTTTTCTTCAATCAGTGCATATACTCTATCATTCCTAGACGATTCGTCCATCATTCTTTGAATATTCGATTCTCTTCATACAGATATCATTAATCTCGTTTTTTCGTCTGACCAGTTCGACATTCGACCTGTAACCTCTGACGCCATCTTGTGTATTGACAAGCATAAATAATTCGGCGATAGAGAGCGTTTGGCCATCATATTGTGTTCACATGGCACATTGCGTTGTACAAGAGCCGGTGTGACAATGGTGTTTAGGATCTGGTCCACCCCTTTTTACAATGGTGTCAAAAACGCTGATGCCAAAACGGTGTATTCTGTTCACACACACATTTAAACAACGTTCTCAAATAAAAGGCATTGTTACAACGGCTTATTTCGTCCAGTGAGAACACCACTCATATGATGTTGTTAAGATAAGACAAAATGAGATAAGATGAGATAAGATGAGATAAGATTCTTTGGTCATACTTGTTGTATAGCAAGTTCATTAGTTGATGCATTCACCAGAAACAAGCCACAAATTGTGGTAAATTTTGCTGAAAATCCAAGATGGTGGCCATACCATGTGACTATCAACATTTATTTTCTCATAATAAGCTTTAGCCATACATGGTATATACAAAATTGGTTAAAACAATCTTGAGAAACAAATGTCCTAAATTGTGGTAATTTCTTGCAAAAATCCAAGATGGCAGCCAAGCCATGTGACTGTTCACAATTATTTTTAATTTCTCATACTGAAATTTAGCAATACATGCTACATTTAAATTATCAAGTTGATTGGTTAAAGCGTCTATAAGAAAATAATGAC